TTAATTCCCTCCTAGACTTCTATGGTCTATAGCATTTCTTAATCCCCTAGTTAAATAATAACCTATATACTAGATATAATGCGCCTAAGACCCTTAACCTATTTACCCTCCCAGATAATAACCTAAAGATTAAACTTTACCTAGCCCTAGAGGCTCTAGATTATTTTTTATAGAATAGTAAAGAAGTTAACCTAACTAGCTTTAGGGTAGGTAAAATCTTATCTAAGATTTAGTAATATATACTGATTTAGTATATACTCTTATCCTATATCCTATTTTATATAGGACTAATAGTCAGTAACTTAATTCCACTAACCCTATATAAGGTATTAGAAGTTAGTTTAATTAATAAGGAGTAGTAATAGTATAATTTATAGTCTAAGTAGATTATAAGAAAGATAGTTACTAAACTTCTAAATGGCTGCCTTATCTAGAATATAAGTAAATACCATAAACTTATACTAGTAATAACCTAGGTGTGGATATATTATAATCACTATTTTATTAAGGCTAAAGATAATATTAATCTTATATAAAAGGCTTATTAGAAGATTCTACTAAAGCTTTAGATTAAAAGGGCTATGCTAGCTAAGAATCAGATTTATAATAATAAGATAAAGAATGTATAACTTAAAAAGGATAAGGAGAAGTAAAAAGCTATAGATATTAAAGACTAGGCTGATAGAGCCTCTACTAACAGCCCCTCTACTCCCTAATTAGATAATAATAACCCCCTAGTATCTAAAGATAAAACTAAGCCTAAGTAAAAATGGCAAGTCCTAGATAAGGTAATAGATATTTTAGATCTTAACACACTTATATACCTTCTCTAGGGCTTATTAAAACTATAAGCTCTCTTAAGTATTATCTAGTAAGAACTCTTTAAGCAGCCTATACTAGAGAAATTAATAATCTAGTATATATCTTCTATCTAGTAATTTTTTATTACATCAGTACTTTACCTCTATGGTATTAACTATAGTATTTACTATTTATTACTTAACTCTAGTTAGTGTGAGGAGCTTTTATCTAGTTTTATAACTAAGCCTAATAAAATAATAGTGCTAGTATACTCCTATTATATTAACTCTATAGGATTAAACCTCTAAGACTTATATTAGAATGTTTATTTATTTAACTCCCCCCTATTAGATCTATTATATAAGTAATCTAAAGGCTATATTATATACTTAGGTTAAACTTATATTACTAAAATCTATAAGTATACTGTTTATAATTCCTTTAATAATAACTAGGTGATAAAGAATATGAAGAAGGCTATTCCTAATATAATAGCTTAGTTAAATCCTTAACTATTTATGGAAGGTGGTATAGATACTAGATATAATAGCTCCTAGAGTTTTAATATTAGGATCTAGGTCTATAATAAGGATAATATAATTTTAAGGGTATCTAAAGAAGAGTATGATAGTATAGATAAAAAAGATATTCTTATAGGTAATGCTTTTATTAAGGTTCTCTTTAAAGGCCTATATTATAGGCTTACTATTTATACTAAAGGTCCATTAGATTGGAAGTTACTAGATAAAATTAATAATTCTATAGGTTTCTAATATTCTATATTTTTAGTTTATAATTTCTGGTTCTCATTATGGTAGTTTTTTTTTATTTTATTTTAAGTAGATTACATTAGCTTTTTCCCTCTTAATTATAGGTGGCTCTTACCTATAGATAGTTTTATTAGTTTATAACTAATTAAATCTTATTATTTTATATATAAATCTACTTATAATAATATAATATTTATATATAACCTTTAAGAGTTAAGATTCTAGAGAGTAGAGAGTAGAGACCCTGGTAGAGCCTCTATTAGCATAGCCTATTATATATATAATATATAGTAATATAATATCTGTATTAACTATTCCTTTTTAGGCCACATTCTATAATAGGCAATTAATCTATAAGTTTTTAAGTCTGATCTATTGACTTAAACTTATTACTTAAAACTCATGAGTTTTACTTATATGCTAAGATAAGTCCTAAATCTGAACTCAAACTTGCCTCATTACTTAAACTCTACTCATTACTTATGAGTAGACTCGACTCATGTGACACACTACTTATAGCAGTCCTTTATATAAGGACTCTTAATCTATTAATTATTATTATAATCTACCTTAATCTCCTATTCTAGACTTAACCTTAGGTATTAGTAGTCTCCTATCTTCTTCTAATATAGCCCTATAGATATACTAGCTCTCTTATATAATCTAAACTATACTAAAGCTATAGAGGGAATAGGTTTATAGACTAGATAGTTAGCTATCTATCTAGACCTTAGAGAGCTTATATAGTAGCGTGTCACATGAGTCAAGTTTGAGTAGAGATTTAGGACTCAACTCGCGAGTTGAGTTGGAAGGTAGGACTTAAACTCATTACTTAAAACTCATGAGTTTTACTTATATACTAAGATAAGTCCTAAATCTAAACTTAAACTTACCTTATTACTTAAACTCTACTTATTACTTATAAGTTTAACTTATTTATCCTAAAATAGACTAGTGTAATACAGACTATAACAGTATTATAATACTAACTAAGCTAGGTACCTAATATAAAGCATTATATTTCTATTTATATAGTATAGGTAGGTTAATAGAGGCTCTATTAGCATAGCCTATTATATATATGATATATAGTAATATAACCTCTATATTAACTATTCCTTTTTAGGCCAGATTCTATAATAGGTAATTAATCTATGAGTTTTTAAGTCTAATCTATTGACTTAAACTCATTACTTAAAACTCATGAGTTTTACTTATATACTAAGATAAGTCCTAAATCTTAACTCAAACTTGCCTCATTACTCAAACTCTACTCATTACTTATGAGTAGACTCAACTCATGTGACACACTATTATATAGTATATCTTAGTATCTAATAGCTAAAGACTAGGTCCTTTTTAGCTACTAGAAGGTAATTATTAATAAGATCTATAGAAAGGAAAGGGAAGGAGCTTTATTAAATACTACTATTAAAGAGATAGAGCTTATATAAGCTAGAGAGAAGCTATTATTATATAAGCTTTCTTAGATCTTATTAACTAATTATATAGTATAGCGTGTCACACGAGTCGAGTTTGAGTAGAGATTTAGGACTCGACTCGCGAGTTGAGTTAGAAGGTAGGACTTAAACTCATGAGTAGAGTTAGGGTTTAGGACTTGAACTCATGCTAAGAAGAGTAAGAGTAGAGTAAGAGTAGAGTAAGAGTCTGTATTTTTACTGTATTTTACTGTATTTTCAAGCCTCCCCCATATAAAATATGTGTATTTTTGGTATTATGAGTAGAGTTTTAAAATATTTAGAGCTCGAACTTATAGTATGAGTCCTAAATCTTAACTTAACTCATATTATGAGTCCTGAATCTCAACTCAAACTCGCCTCATTACTCGAACTCTACTCGTTACTCATGAGTAAACTCGACTCATGTGACACACTAATATAGTAGATATATTAGGTAGGAAGAAGTAGATTAAGAGCTTATTTAGTAATTAATAATAATTCTTTATAATTAATTATATAGGATTCTTAAAGAGTAAATATTTATTATATTTATCCTCTCCCTTCTAGCTAATCTTAATTAAGTAGTATTATTCTTTCCCTCCTTCTCTTCCTCTTTTTTCTCTCTTCTCTTTCTTCTTCTTCTTCTCTCTCTCTCTCTCTTTAAGATTATTATATATTATATTATATATATTATATTTTAAGCTATTCCTATCCTATAATCTAATTTTAATATTATATACTAATATTCTAATTTATATAAGATAGGAATAATAATAGTAATTATCCTTATACCTCCTATATATCTATAATAACTCTAGAAGGTCTTTTCTATAGGCTATATAAATAGACCCCCCCTAATTAATATCTAGTCCTTCTTATAGGATAATAGCTACTATATAACTATATTTATATATTTAAAGGTAAGGTATTACTTACCTATAATAGGTAGGATATTCCTTTTATATATAGTAATATAAGGGTATTATAAATATAGTAATACTAGCCTTTATATATTAATACCCTTCTTATATAATTATAAGGGGTAATACTAGCCTAGCCTTATTATAAGTACTACCTTAGATAAGGTCTATATCCCTTTACTAAATATTACTATATTCTAGATATATTTAGTAGAGTATATACTAACTATAAATAGTCTAACTAGGTAATTAGCTACTCTATATATAATAAGAATTAGATAGAACTAGTTAAGGAATAGAGTAGTTAAATACCTAGTAATAGGGTTAGGATAGGATAGGGACTATTACTAGTACCTAGGAAAGCCTCTAGGCCTATAAACTTAGACCTAGAGGATAGAGGTAATTATATAAATCTAATTAATTTAGATCTAGAGGAAGGTAAGTAGAATAATCCTATTATTCTATAAGGAGTTTAGGTATACTATTTTTACTAGTATTAGTATTAGTATTTAGTATTTTAGTATTTAGGATTCTGCCTAGTTATATAGGCCCTATATATAATACCTAAGTATAACTTATACCTCTATATAGTGCTTAGGACTAGTAGCTATAAGTAGTAAAGCTAAGTAAGTTAGATAGATAGCTTAGATAGTAGATAAGGGATTCTACTAGCAGTAGAATAGTAGTAATCTAATAGTAATTTAGCTAATACTTATATAAACAGTAAATTTTACAGTCAGGTGCAAATCACATATCTGATGGCTTAGTAGTTTTGCCATAGTAATATACAAAATTACACTGTGAATTTGACCCCCTGATATCCGCCATGTATCTAGTGCATACATACACACAATAAACAACCTGTACCTGCATAACAGTCAAAATTATCATGATGATTGCTGTATGGGAGCAAGATATTGAATCAAATCTGGCAGTATAATGATTATTGGGGGTTCTTTCTCTTTTCTATTTCTGGCACCCTCATGATTATACTCTGCATCTAGTTAGCCCTAATAACCTAAGGTACTTTGGGCTCAGCTATTCCGTGATCTTTGCTTAGATCTAATTCTTTGTTTCTCTTATAGTCTTGTCTATTTTTGCTCAAGTCCCATAGAAACTACACCTGAATTTGAATCTATTAACCTCTTAGACGTGTATGAAGTCCCATGGCTTCCACTCATCATTCATGATGCAAAAGCTATTTCAATTCAAGCGCCCTCGAAACCCCTCAACCACATCATCTCCTGCTTTCTTTCGCGCTTCAGTCTTTCGACGTTGAGATTGCTGAGCTGTGCATAAAAAGTGTCCGGCTCCCAGTAGTAATAAGGAAAGCAAGTAAGGCTTTTGCTTCTAGTAGATTGTTGTCGATTGGTGGTATTTGTTCCTGGTTGACTTGCCGTGACCCCGGTACTGTGCTCAGTATTCTCATCAGACTCATCACTCGATGATCTGCTATTGTCCGCATCGTAAGTACCCTCGCTGACTGCATGATCCTTGTCATCCCTTGGGGATCTATTGCCCTCGGTATATAATTCCTCATCCTGAGTGGTTGAGATGCTCCCATTTTCGTGACCACTCGTCAGCTTATCAGACATCAAGGCTGTTGCTTTAGCATCATCTTGTTCATCGCTTTTGGTCTCGTAGAGGACACCAGCGGGTGTAGTTGATGAGGAGAACTTATTTTGCAGATGATCGTTCTGGCCCTGGGAATCATCGTGGAAATTCCGCCTTTTCTGCTCTTCGTGCTGCTTGACCAAAAGTAATTAGAAAGAATCAGAACTTCAATATAAGAAAAAATGTATTAAAAAAATAAATTAAAAAAAAGAAGGGGGGGTGTCATCTACTGACCTCGATTAGATGCGCCTTCTTCTTTTCTTCCTTTTCCTCCCTGCTTCCATAAAACTCCTTTAAACAATCTGGGCATACGACATGCGCTGAGTTTTCCTTCAAAAGATGAGAGCACAGCTCTGCAATGTTGGCGCAAACAATTCGACATTCAGTACATTCATATTTGAAGGTATCCCCTTCATCAGATCCGGCACCGTCGTGGATGGAAAGGTCACTCCAATCTGACGCAGGAGGAGTGGCGATTGGCTTTGCCAGAATATCAAAAAGAGTTTCCTCATCACTGATGTGGTGAACGGTATTTTCCTGGAAATCGCCAAGGCAAGAAGAAGAGGCCATGCCGTTTGTGAGGTTCGTAGATGGCTGAGCTCCGTAAACTTGGTTGGGGGGAGAAGAAACGGAACCCAGATTGACCGAAATTCAACAAGTCCCAGGGAGTTTTAACTGAGAAGGAAAGGACATTGGGTGTTTGGAAGCATTCAACAGGTTGACGGTGGGTGGGATAAGGCACAAACAAAAAGGGAAAAGAGAGGGGCGGAGGGCAAGGAAACAAAGACATGTTTACTTAGCATAAACTGATAATCGGTAATCGACATATGCTACAAATGCAATAATCATATAAATGTAGCGTTAATAATACTCTACACTCTTTGAGGGAGGGGGATTCTCCCAGATCTTACACATTTTGGGAGTTCCTAATTGTATGTACATAACTTGAGGGCAGCTTTCAATGTCCCACCAAGTTCAGAAAACCCATAAAACAAAGACAAAAAAGAATCAATGACCGAAGGTAAATCTGTACAAGAAACGAAGGGGTTAATCTATAGCTTGGCCTTGGGGGCAGACTCTTCTTCGATGGCCTGAGCATAAAGGTCATCGAGGAGTTGGCGGTACTTCTTTGTGGTGGGAGGGCGCTTCAATTTCAATCTATTAAAGAGTTAGCAATGCCAGCCCAACGAGCGATACACTCCAAATATTTTGGGAAAGTTAGAAAGAAAGCACTTACGTTGGAGTCAACAGGTTGTTCTCAACTGTGAACGGCTCAACCATGATGGAACAGTTCTTGACCTTCTCGTACCCTGCAAGTTTGTGCTTGCGTGCTACCCGTTCAAGATCCTTTAAGACAGCTTTGCGAATCTTGTCATCGCTAGCTGCCGCCTTGATGGCGTCAATATCCGTCGGACTGATGGTCTGGCCAAGGACCTTGCTGGCAAACGGAGCAAACATGTCAGGCTGGACACCAAAGATAGCTACCAGGAATGTCTGGACACTGTCACCATGGATATAGCCCTGGGCGAAGTAACCCAGCTCCGACAGATAAACGCCTTCCAACCTTTCTGGGGAGATGTACTCTCCCTGGGCCAGCTTGAGAACGTTCTTCCTGCGATCGATAATGATGAAACGGCCCATATTATCCACTGTGCAGACATCACCAGTGCGGAACCATCCATCCTCGGTCATCGCCTTACTGGTCTCCTCGGGGTTCTTGAAATACTCCTGGAAAACATTGGTGCCACGAAGCAACAATTCACCTCGTGGGAAGGGGCTGTCATTGACCGAGTACTCCATGTCTGGAATGGACTCCAGACAGGCTTCCGTGCAAGGAGCGAGGCGACCACAGTTACCAGCAGTGAGATCCTTGGAGGACTGCACGGTGGCCATGGCGTATGTCTCCGTCAATCCGTAACCCTGGTACACATCAACCCCAAGAACAACTCTCAGGAAATTGTGCAGCGAAGGGTCAAGGGGCGCGGAGCCCGAAACCAAAGACTTGGCCCGCTCCAAACCCAGTGCAGCGGCGACCTTTTTAGCCCAGATTCGATCGTAGACCGCATGCTTCACGGTGGACTTGTCTTTCAAATTGGCTGTCTTGGTCGCAATAATGTGCTTCGAAAGGGCACCCTTGAAGCCCGGCTGCTCAACAGTAGCAGCACGAATGGCATTTCCGAAACGGCTGTAGAGACGAGGGACTGACATAAACCCAGTAGGCTTTAGCAGTTTCAGATCATCAACCAACTCTAGGATGTTTCCATGGAAATAACCAATCCGAGCACCGGCCCAGAAAGCGGTGTGTTCCGTCATGCGAGCGAAGATATGGGCCAGTGGAAGATACGAGAGCATAGTATCGCCTGATGTATACTGGACATTGATGAGACCACCACAAGTCGCCGCGACTGCATTCTCGTGGGTCAGCACCACACCCTTTGGAGGACCTGTGGTGCCGGATGTGTAGTTGATGGTGATGACGCTCGAAGGTGAGGGGGGATTGCAAGGCCGATTTGATGACGCTCCCAACTCTTCAACCTGGTCCATCGAGTAGATGGCAACATCAAGCCCAGCAGCGACAGATTCCAAAAGAGTACGTTTCGACTGACCGGCCGGCTCACCGCCATCCAAAGGATCCATACTGACGATGATTTTCAAATTGGGCAACGCGGGCTTGAGCTTGAGCAGGGTGGGAATATGCGGCAAAGAGGTAACGACGCAACTCAGTTCGGCGTGGTTAATTATGTACTCTGTAGCGTCCGACGCAAGGACATCGTAGATCGAGACGGAATACAGAGACTGGGACATGCATGCGAGGTCTGCAGGTAACGAATTAGTAGTCGCCCAGAAACGCGAAAATGGGTAAGATTCCATCTTCCACTCCACGAGTACTACATACCGGTGATCTGCCACTCCGGTCGGTTCTGACACCAGAGACCAACTCCATACGGACCAGGGCGGCCGCATCCATGCTTATTGTGCAGCTCCACCAAACCAGCACCAAATTCCGTGCGTCGCTTTTGGACCGTCTGGTAGTCCATCCACTCGTACAGACCCCAAGTCTTGGTCGTCGGGTTATACGGACGCCATCCGAGGCAATGGTTCTTCGGGTGTCGCTTGACGCTCGACTCAAATATATCGTGGGCCGTGGTGACCTGGAAGACAACAGACGTCAGTACCGGAGGCGGAACAGAGGTTCAGGTACAGCATACTTCGGGGTCTAGTGTTTTCATAAGCTCTTTCTGCGAATTCCAAACCCGATATACTCTGCTCCGGCCCGATTTCTCAGTTCCTGGCAAGCCAACACAATAGGGAGTACCCTTGGGAGGCTCTTCTTTAAGCTCGTTCGCGCGAGCGATATGGGTGGGAGGTTGTGAGAAAAACATAGCGCGCGGATTATTCTATAGGCAGTAAGGATATATATATATATATCAACAGGAAAAGCCACTGGGAAACGATAGGAGGAACATACAGTTGTCACGAATCCTGAAATCAGAGGGGGTTAGAAAAGAAGATAAAATATAAAAAAAAAAAAGTACAACGTTAGGTAAACATAGACAAGTTTAGATGCACAGCATTCCAATTTTAATCAAGGATGAAAAAAGAGACGAAGACCAATCAGGCCGAGAAAAAGGACCACGGGCAAAAACGAAGAAGAAAAAAAAAGATGAACAGAAAAAGAATGATGGAGCAGGACAAGAAGAATAAGAAGTGCAGGGAATCAATAACCCCAAATGGAGATTAACCCGGGAGGCGAAGAGGTGCTGCAAGCAGGTCAACTCATTATCCTTTCCTGCCGGGCCGACCAGGCACAGTCAACAATCAACGAACCTCGGCAGACCGCAAAACCTCCAACCACGTTACTGCTATTACTGCTGTTTTTATTATTCCTTCTATACAGGCAGTGATCTTGCATGTGTGTCTACTGTCTACTATATGGACTTTGAATAAGTCACAAATTTATGTATCCCCAGGATTTCCGAGATCAATTTGCAGACTGCGGGGGGGAGGGGAGGAGGGATCAGGAGGCAAGATCAAAACCTCGTGATAGCTCCAACTCCATACAAGCTAAGGATATGCAGTACTAGCATCTTCGGACAAACCGAGGCCGGATTTGGGATGCTTTTTGGGTAAAGTTGCAGACATACATGGTTCAATTATTGGCGCAGAGATGCATCGGAGAACCACTTCTAGTTCGAGTTAGTTGGAGGATGAAACCATAAAATACTCCATGTCTTCTCCATGCGGTTGGGCACTTGGATTCCTTCCCCAGAAATCAGGGACTTGCTGGTGGTATTGATAGAGGAGTAATAGTATAGATATATATATGAGACAAGAAAATCTAGGAAAATACCTTATCGACAAACTGGCAGATGGCGTACAGACCAAGTTTATCAGAAATGACGTGCATCTGCTGGGGGTCAACCCTGTTTATCCAGAGAATTTCCTTGTGATCCATAATATCCATGGCATAGAATGCGCCCGGCCAGCATCAAAAGTTGGCCCATAGAATCCCCATGTCTTCACATGCTTCTTCCCAACAAATGATACATCCAGAGACTCTAAGCTTTGGGGGTTGAACTGTGCGGGTTTCATGTGAAGATTCAGTAGTCTGATGATATCTGCAGTCTGCCACGTGAACCGTTTATATCCCGATGACTGGGTGGCGTTCTAGCTTCAGCCAACAACCACCGACTGTAGTTACCTTTGAAAACGGTGTCTAGGTGACCACTTCATTGAATGCTTTGGGAAACTTTCTTGGAAAGGGAGATGTGATATTTATTGTCAAGAATAGAAGACAAAGATGAAGAAAAACGAAACCCAACTCCGTGCCACATGCTGCAATTCCAAATCACATGCTATACAAAAAGTTCATAACATCCCTTCAAACTAATTCAACCCATGCAAAATTATCTATATGCTTACCCTATCAGGGCATTTGAGAAACTAAAAAGAAAGGCAGAAAGATAAGCGAAAATCTGCTTATCTCTTCATCCAGCGCCAGGCCTTCTCGTACCACGCTGTTTGTGGAGTCGAGGTTTCCCATGATTCATTATCTTCATATGGAATACGGCCAGTGTCGAGATCTGCCTCAAGCGGGTGGACAAATGCTGGTCGGAAGATGATCTTGTGGCCGATGTAGAGAACCACGAAAAGGATCAAACTGAGGTAAGCGATGAAAAAGTCCGTCACGCTGAATGACGGGATGAAGGAAGTGAACCCCTGGGTCAAAACGATCAGGACGTTGAAGAACAGTCCGTACCAGGCGTACCACGGTTGCCACATGGCTTTGTACGGAAGAAGATCGCGAGAGATGTCGCGAGCCTTGAGAGCCCGCATAAAGGCCAGGTGGCAGGCATTCAATGAGCCCCAGGTGATGAAGCCCGCGACACCGGAGATGTTGAGCAACCAGTTGAACACGGTGCTACCCGCATTAGACACATTCATGAACCCAAGCAGGCCAAACATTGCAGTAAACGCAACACTGAAGTATGGCACTCCACCCTTGGTCGTCTTCTTGAACCAACGAGGAGCAAATCCTTCTTGCGCCAAACCGATCAGGATACGGCTACCGCTGTACACGTTGGAGTTGGCTGCCGAGAGCACTACCGTCAACAAGACCGCATTGATGATACTGGGGAGCACCTTGACACCCGCCAGTTTTGCCGCAATGACGAATGGCGAGGAATTGGCGTCGTTGCCATCAGAAAGGAGGTCCTCGTTGGTGTAAGGCACCACAATGCCAATAAAGAAGATGGTCAAGACAAAGAAGAACAAGATACGGTAGAAAGTCTTGCGGATTGCTGACGGGACCGTCTTGCGGGGATTTTCAGTTTCACCTGCCGCAATGCCGACTAATTCTGTGCCCTGGTAGGAGAATCCAGCCTGGATAAGAACAGCCCAAAAGCCAACAAACTTAGCCCTTGGGTCTGAATCATCAAGGAGATATGGGGCAAAGGCGCCTGGGTGCACCCAGTACCGGAATCCAAGGTAGCCCTGGTGGCTAACGCCTGCATCAACACAAATGGCAAAGATCATAAACCCAACAACTGTGAGCACTTTGATACTGGAAAACCAAAACTCTATCTCGCCATAGAAGCTGACAGGTAAGAAGTTAAGGAGAGTGATCACGACCAAGAAAATTGCAATGAAGATGGCAATGTTAATTGATTCATCCCAGTACTGAATGATCAAACCAGTCGCAGTCAGTTCCAATGCGAACGTGCTGGCCCAGGAGAACCAATAAATCCAGCCCATCGCAAAACCCAGGCTAGGGTCGATTAATCGTGCAGCGTATGATGTAAAGGCCCCGGGAATCGGGATATACGTCGCAACCTCTCCCAGAGAAATCATTACCGAGTAGACGATCGAGCCGACGAAGAGGTATGCGATGAGGGCACCAACGGGGCCCGCGTGGGCAATAGCAGTTCCGCTACTGATAAAAAGACCGGTACCGATTGTACCACCTGGAGAAGAGTTAGCAACCTGCTTCTGAGAAGTTCTCTTTCCGTTTCCCTCAAAGGAAGAAATTTTTTAAAACTGACCGATAGCAATCATCTGCAGATGTCTGCTCTTGAGCTTCCGCTTCAAGTCCGGCAGCGGATTGGATTCGCGACTGGCTCCATGCTTCTCACAGTCCACATCGTTCGGATCCAGAGAGTTGAAGTTTGCATGGGGGTTGAGTTGGATGGGGTCTTCGGTTGTCATGTTGCCCTTTTCAGCAACCTTTGGCGCAGTACTGGTGGTCTCGTACTTTGGGTCCATGTTCGACCCTCGAGAGTAAACCCAGATGCTGTAGGTAGAGGAGACGGGTTATGTAGGAATGGGCGAGTGTGTTAGGAAGTCCAAAGACAATTGCCGATCTCAAGAAGAGTCGAGAGGCGAAAGATAGCGTCCGTCCCGTCGTCAGCACGGCCGACTCCACCACACGCGACTCAACCACCTAGGTAACAGTAGGACTGCTTCTGCTAGCTGACAGCACTGCAGCAGGCTTTTCCCCTCTCCCTTTCTCCTCTCTTGCTGTGGAGAAATCGAACACCGATCGACACAGTCTGTAAGACTTGGAGGACTTGGATACTATCTGGGCCAATGGGCTAGCAAATCAATGGAATGGTGAGAAGATTATGACAAGATGCATATAGATCGATTCGATTAGAATACCCTATTATGTAAAGAGAACGATACCAGGAAGAAGAAGAAGAAGAGAGGAAGAGAAGAAACAGAATTATAGCACCGTGTACTAAATTATCTCCTTCCTTTGGGCCTTAGGGCGTGTTGGCTGCTGAGCCAATGTAAGAATATGTAATGATTTTTTTTCTTCCCTCGAGTTCGCCCTCGAGGAGTCCACCAAACTGGGGTTGTTCTCCTGGGTAGGAATTAAATTATCCACGGATGGCACCCGCCAAGGGCTCGCGAGTCTTTACTCATTCGCAGTAACACCGTTCGATGATCGCGGTCAATGTGGGCCGTAGATGGAGTCTGGGATGGCGGAGTTTTTTTTTTTTTTTTTTTTTTTTTCTCAAGTCGGCTATAGAATCATGATGGAATTGATTGCATTCTTATTGCTCGAAACTATATTCTGCTGCTATGTAACAGTACCGTGGCAAGAAATTATGAACGATTGAATCTCAATCCTCATAATAATAACAATAATAGCAATCTGATCGTGGAGGCAAAAAAAAGCAAAGAAAAACTCTGTCGGAAGTGACCGAACCGGCTGCGGTACAGAAAATTTCTGTTCTTCTCGACGGATACAGTCGGAGAACACAACGCGTTGGTTTTCTAGAATGTTTCCAAATTATCCCGCATTGAATCCATCGTTCTATTTTATTCATTGATATTATTTATATCTATGTGATTAGATAGATAAATAGATAGGCACTACTATATTACTATATTATATTTTGCATCCTTTTTGTCGATATTGACCAATGTCATTATTAATAAATCTTCATGTCATGCCATTTCTTCACGTTACATTCAGTCGGTGGGAAAATCAAGTAAAGCAAAACTCAAGATAAGAAGTGGCAAATGTTTCTTATTCAGCATCATGAATCATATACTATCAATCCAACACGGCTTCAAAACTCATGGAATCAATAACACTAATATGATATTTTGTATGTGTCATGGAATGTAGAATATGGGGTATCCGTTTTCATGATATTAGACTATCTAAGACAGGCACATAAATGAGTGTCCCAAAAAAAAAAGAAAGAAAGAAAGAAAGAAAGAAAAACAAGAGCAAGCAACAACATCCTTATGCTCGGAATTATCTGTAGTATAGTATGTCATCGTGAACCGGGTATCTCGTTTAGGTGTCAAACAGCAACATATAGCAAATCATCACATGACATCGGCCATCACCATGTTGAATTAACCGTGTTCGTATCAGATATAGGGTATGCTCGCCAATTTATTATCATAGATAGATAGGGCTGAGGGCATGACGTCAGGAGTAAATCGAGTGAGAAAAAGGTCTGATATCCAACTGCTAAAATGGCGTCCACGGGTGTGGAATTATAGCAGGCAGCTCTACGGGGCCGCGGCAGTCATTTCCACGTCAGGGTTATTTGTGTTTGACGCCTGCGCCTGAGGAGCAGGTTTGGTACTGTTGCTGTCCAGGAGGCCCATGACAGCTATACCAGTAGTTGCGGCAAAGAGTGCCCTATTTCATCCCAGTTAGTCATATTTTTCTTCCATCAGAGGGGACCCGGTATAGACCGTCATACCATTCCAATGCGCCGAATACCACGGCTGCCTGTGCCGAGTTGCAGGCATCGTAGCAGTATTGAGGCGAGGGCAGGAGAGTGGCCAAGGCAATAAAGCCTGCGAACCAAAAGATCATGGTGATTACTTCAGCTGCCAGGACAACAATGCGTTGTGCCACGCTGGGGAAGTACATCGGCGCCACGGCGAGGAAGGGGACTGCAAAAAAGGGTGTCCAGACGCCATTAAAGAGCATGAAGTTGACAGTCGGGCTGAAATTGAAAAAGCTGACCACTGTTCTGTGTCAGGAACTGCGCAGTTTTATTTAGTGTAGAGTCAGGGAGACATACTGTATGCGGTCAATCCAAGGACAATGATGCCAAAAATGGCCTGTATCACCCGCAGAGTGGCCCTGGCATAGGTAGGGAGAGTAAAAGCCATGATGAATATGATATTATTTTGAATAATCTCTTTATCCAAGACACTCTTTTTGAAGGTAGAATGAGCGATACACTGGTAGGATGCGAGTAGATAGGCAATAAAAAGAATAGAGATGCCTGATGTAGCCTGTACAGTTGGATCAGCCGGAAGATACTATTATTAGCCAACGTCAGCCAGCAGGAATATAAGAAGGACAGATGATTGAAGAGCAGGAACGATTGATTGACGGCCACGAGACCAAACTCTTGTTCCTGGCTTGTGACGTGGAGGATGACTTGGAATCAACTGACCTTGGCTTGTTGATTTGACTCAAACTGAATTAGAGATTAGGGATTAGATTAGAGCTTAATGAACATTCAGACAGTAAACACCTGAAAGCAAGACAATCAACCGAATAATCGCTTGAATATTCTTTCCCCCCCCCCCTTTTTTTTTTTTTTTTGGATCTTCAGAAATCCAGAAATCCAGAAAGACGGGAGAAGAGAAGAAGTACAAAAAGCCAATTTGACCGCTAGATGCAAAAAGTCTCCTGACCTTTTTATACTCTGAAGATGAAAGAATCAGGACGGATCTACAGACCCTTATCCGAGAGTAGCTCGTATTCCCTGCTTGAGACGATCATTTTGGCGTCATTGCCTTGCATTTTACCTGAATTATAATCCTGATTAGGGCGGTTGTGGTGTTGAGCCTGTGATCGAGCCTCGGCACAGAACAACGAGGCAACACTGGGGAGACCGAAGATGCGTCGATGCGAAGGAAAAAAAAGACCGGATGAAGGGTGGAGACCTTCTAGCTGGCCAAATTCGGATGGTGTTGCGATAGTTTAATTATGTTGGCAAGGCTTGTTTGGATGATTGAAGTAAATATGTTGAAGATCTCTTCACATGAATTTGAAGTACCGAGTGGTCTTGGTTTGTCTATAATTCAGTCAGTCCGTCGCGTCTGTCTTATTATCTCATATTGCATTCATAGCAATCTCGAGTCTTTGATATCTATTATATTTATATTCATTCGTCATTCAACTTGAATGAATAGACTTGATGGGTTGCTGCACATGTATGTATATGTGATTAATATCAAAATATATTTCCCTCTCAACTAGCATAACCCCACTATCCCCGCATATCACAGAAAATATACTCGGCCAGATCTAAGCATCATATATTATCATCACTATCATCTTCAATGGCTTCATCACCATTTCCATTTTCTTTTACTTGGCGTGACTTAGACAAAGCCAGCCTTTAGAATTTATGCCTCAGGACGCTCTTCCACCCCCGCACGTTCGATCACGCCATCTCTGTATCCCAAACCCCTCCCCCCGGCGCTATTGACTTTCGCCCTTATTCCCCCTTGGCTGTTGATTTCTCAACTCATTCCTCATTCTTCTTCTCGATCCTCTATCGACTGACTCTCTCTTCTGCCTCTATAACCACATCAGTCCTCAGCCTGCTGCTCGCTAGGCACAGAAATTTCCGTAATTTCTTATAAAAACAGCATCAATCGCTAGTCAAAACCCGCCGGAGTCATCAATCATGTCTTCCGAACAGCAGGACCTTCGTTTCGAGACTCTTCAGCTTCATGCTGGGTACGTTCTCGCTACCTGTGAGGAGAGCTTGGGCTGACCATCATCGAGCCATGAACCCGATGCTGCAACAAACTCCCGCGCCGTGCCTATATATGCCACTACTGTCCGTCCTATCTTGTTTTCTCTAATCCTGATGCACACAAGCTTACTTTATACGCTGATCTAGTCTTATGCCTTCAATGACTCCGCACACGGAGCACGACTCTTTGGTCTCAAAGAGCTTGGAAACATCTACAGTCGAATTGGAAATGTGAGTACAACATTTGAAACTTCGAAACATCTACCACTCGCTCTCTAATTGCATCACCATTTTGAATAGCCCACTGTAGACGTATTCGAAAAGCGTATCGCTGCATTGGAAGGCGGTGTTGCGGCCGTCGCAGCATCTTCTGGACAAGGTGCTCAATTCATGGCCATCTCAGCTCTAGCCCACGCCGGAGACAACATTATATCCACCACCAACTTGTATGGTGGCACATACAATCAGTTTAAGGTCCTTTTCCCTCGAATGGGAATCACTACCAAGTTTGTTCCGGGTGAAAGGCCCGAGGATATCGCTGCAGCCATCGATGATCGTACCAAGGCTGTCTATGTTGAAAGTATCGGAAATCCTCGCTACAATGTGCCTGACTTTGAGGCCATTGCTAAAGTTGCCCACGAAAAGGGTGTTCCCTTAGTAGTGAGTAACTCGCAATCCTTCCCTCGCCGCTAGTGGAAAAAAGAAATATTTTTATCGACTAACCCGCTTCCACAGGTTGACAACACCTTTGGGGCTGGTGGATATTTCTGCCGTCCTATCGAGCACGGCGCTGACATTGTCGTACACAGTGCAACCAAGTGGATTGGTGGACATGGTACTACTATCGGTGGTGTTGTTATCGACAGCGGGAAATTTGACTGGGGTAAGAACGCAGCACGATTTCCTCAATTTGTCGAGCCATCAGAAGGCTACCATGGCCTGCGATTCTGGGAAACCTTCGGGCCTGTTTCGTATGCTATCCGTGTCCGTGTTGAGATTCTTCGTGATCTTGGTACTGCGCTCAACCCATTCGCTGCGCAGCAGCTCCTATTGGGCCTCGAGACCTTGAGCTTGCGTGCTGAACGCCATGCGAGCAACGCCACCGCCCTCGTGGACTGGCTCCAAAAGAACGAGAACGTCAGTTGGGTCTCCTACCCTGGCCTGGAAAACCATCCCAGCCACGAGACAGCGAAGCGTTTCTTGACCCGTGGCTTCGGTGGTGTCTTGTCTTTTGGTGTGAAGGGAGGGGCCGCTGCCGGTAGTCAGGTTGTTGATGGCTTCAAGCTGATTTCAAATTTGGCAAAGTATGTTATGTGTTTGCTCTAGCCAGGGCCAGGAGATTACCGTACTAATAATTTATATAGTGTCGGCGATTCAAAGACTCTTGCCATTCACCCCTGGTCGACAACCCACGAACAACTCTCTGAACAAGAGAAATTCGACTCGGGTGTCACCGAAGATGGCATCCGTATCTCCGTCGGAACCGAGCATATCGACGATATTATTGCTGATTTCGAACAGTCTTTCAAGGCCGCAAAGGCTTTGAATGCATAAAAGACCACTCTCATATCGAATATAGAGAATGAGATTGTATCGGCTAAACTACGACTGAGTATACAAAGATAAGATGAAGGGGGGAAAAAAAGAAAAAAAAAATCGAACCCTAATTATTGCAGGATGAATGAGTACGTATAAGAGATGATCTATTGGCCTGGCGCAACACAGGAGGACAAGGAAATGTGTAGACATCTTAGGGTGTTCTTTTTTGTGTGTTCAATGACCTACGATAGCGATGAGACGAAATATTTATGGCTCGAATTCAACGCACGATATCCAACTCTTTTGGAGATGGGTTTTTGTATTTCCTCTACGATGGGAAGCTTAAGCGTTTTGATAGGACAGAAAGAGAATCAGAAGTGGAATGTATTCACAAAAAAAGAAAACGAAGCCTAAGAGAAAAACCGAGCAAAGGCTATTGCTCTGAGTAACTAGTTATTTTTGGATGGGAATGCGACAAAAACAAAAAACCGCCCAGCAATACCAGCCAAGCTGAAACCGATACCAAGTACAGAAACAGAATGTGAAGACACAATTTCGAAAAGGGAAATCGAGAAAAAAAGAAAAAAAAAAAAAGAAACCATACAAAGAAGACGTGGGTTTGAGAGAAAGTCTCCATGCCACTAGTAGATGCTGTAGCGGAATAATAGCAACCGCCACCGCAAGTAGTGCATGGAAAAATATAGAGTCGATAAGGATGTAAAGCAGCGTATGCGAGAATAACCAAGGTCAGTCAATTTGTCTGACGGACCTTCCAACATGATACAAGCATGCCTCATTCCCTCCCGCGGACATGGTAGCTGAAACGCCGAGTTCCCGGTGTGAAAGTGAATTTGTACAACGAAAAATAAAAGAAAAAAAGAGATGAAACCATATCAAAACAAAATCGTGATAGAATGGCGGCGAATATGACTCCAGTTGCATCCCAGTTTATGCATTATGTGGGCTGCACTTTTGAGCGACGAATTTAGCTGCCCTGACCAGGGGGTGGTGGTTGTGCAGAGCCTGTGTTTGACCCTGCCTGCGCTCCGCCCATCATGAACCCAGGAGGGAACATGGGCATCCCGGGGAAGGAGAAGCCAAATCCAGGCACTGCAGGTGGCACGCCAACATTGTTGACACTAGGCATATCGCGATCGGCCTGGCCACCCATACCAGGACCTGGATTATTGTCGCGCTCTGGGCGACGGAAACGATCTTGCTGGGTGCGAGAGGACACAGGCCCACGCTTGCCCCCCGTGTCGGTTGCAATACGCCTGCTGATGGCTATTAAGAAAGGATTAGCCACGATCATGATCTGAATAGGGCTCGAGAGGGATCGAAAACTTACCTTTCGACGAGACACCGGCACCGATTTCAATATCAGGCTCCTCAACCACCATACCGCTTTCGATGGGCCTTCCCCCAGTTCCACCGTATTCAGCAGTGAGCATCCACTTTCGGTCGGCCTCAGTAAGTCTTTCGATAGGAATCACACTGATGCCCGTCTGGTAGTCGCTGCAGTCACGGGGACCAAATCCGACACCCCATCGAGTCTAATATTTGTTAGATAATTCAAATGAATCGGGATGCTCAATGTTGAAATGACTTACTCTGAGCTGCATCTCTCCAGATTTGTGGGATTCCATTCCATCCCGGGCAAGAATTGCGTCTTGACGACTGATCATTTTGATGAAAGCATGGCGTTTGTCGATGTTGACGATGCAGGTTTGAACAAGTCCAAACTTGCCGAATAGTGAGCGCAAATGAGCTTCGGACGACCTGCAAGTCTGTTAGAACAAGATAACGTTATCGAAACCGCTGTTGGTGAAAACTTACGTGACACCGCCCACGAAAAGAGTCCTACTCAAAACTATATCACGAATATGAGCATACTTGTAAACCGTATATAGAGAAAACAAATGAGCACGAACCTTTAATGTTTCCTTGACCAATAGAGTAATCCCACTCAATAAACTTCGGACCGGGTGGAGGCAGATTGGGGTCCTTGCGAGGAGGACTAGGAGAGCGACGTCTGCGACCGGGAGGACTGCGCTGTCGATAGTCATTGCCTCGTCGGCCACGAATATCGCGGGGATCTCCACCCCTACGTCCTGGTGAGTCTCCATGGTATTCGCCATAGACGGGGCTATCGCGGCGACGAGGAGGAGACACATCGCGACGTCTGTCCCAACCAGGGGAACGGGAGCGGCGCCGATATTGACCAGGGGGCGAACGCATGTAGTCCCTTTCACGGTCCCGGTCCATATCACGTGATTGAGAGTCCGGACGGCCCCAAGCGTTGACACTCTGACCCGGTAGATTAAAGCCGGGAGCCTGCCCAGACATAGGTGCCATTCCGGTGGCATTGGACAGACTGAGGATCTGCAGCGCTGTGGCCCACTGTTCCTGCGGGATTCCCTGTGCCGCTAGCAGTTGCAGTAGCTGCAGTTGCTGCAGAGCATCCGGCGCTACAGTAGGAGTCGGTTGGGCGGGAGCTGCAGTCGCCTGTGGCAGTAATGCAGCCAATGGGTTTTGCGCAGCAGCCAGTGGGTTAGGAGTGTGACTCTGGCTCTGAGGTTGAACCAAGGCCGGGTTCTGAGCGACACCTCCCAGGGCCGCGAACGGCGTCGCCATAGCCCCGGCAGCATAAGGGTTTACACCAGCCTGCCCGTTCGGGGCGTGTGAAGCCTGGTCTACGGATGATGACACGGGCTGCGGGACTGTACTCTGTGGGTTTAATGCACTAAGAGGATTGGCCTGGGCAGGCACTGCTGGAGCTGCTGGAGCGGCGGTGTTTTGCTTGGCCATGTCTGCCAAAGCCTTCAAGATACTGGAGGTATCCGGTGCGGATTGAGCAGGAGTTGTCGAAGTGGCACCATTTGTTGCTTGCTGCTGCTGGGGTGCTGGACCTCCGAGTGGGATGTAATTTGGTGCTGGAGACCCTTCTGGGGTGGTGGATTCAACATCTAGTGATACATCAGATTCCGCTTCCCAGATCTTTCAGCCATCAACGGCTACCCTTCCATACTTAGGGACTATGCCCCGCGGATATATGGGTAACAAGTAATAATCGTTGTACAAGGGGGTTGCTTACTGTGTGATGCAGGCGCGTTTAATTTTTCCTTGAAGGAAGTGAGCATGGCTGGAGGGAAGGTGTATCCACGCTCCCAGATATCCACCAGTTTCCTGATTTTTTCCTATACAAGAGACGATCAAATACGTAAGTTAAGCTATTCGTCACAAAAGAACGCAACGAGAGATTAGGAAAGCATAAAAAAGACACAGTTTCTATGCAGGATGTGGGGGATATATAGCGGGAGATACGTAGAAGTGATCTTATAAGAGGCCGTAGTGAGATTTGGAAATCACCGCGTCTCACTGGCCCTATGCATTCCCGTAGGTTCTGTGATAATATGATGATTTTTTGCGTATTTCTTCTAGAGCGTACCTTTTGATCTTCAGGAGCATTGTTTATGATATCAGTCATCAAGACGGGTAACAGCTCGGTCACTCTGTTAACACCAGCGGCGAAGGTTCCATCAGGAGCAGCACTACCGGATGGTTGGCCTGCCTTGCGCGCTGCATCTACCCACTGTCGAGTTACAGAGTCTACGACATAGAGTACGCCCAACTTGTGTGTGCCTGGTGCCTTTTTGAAATGCGTGTAGATCTTTTGAATGAGGACGGATTCGTTCTGCGAGAATGAAGACAAAACGTTAGCATAACCGCTTGATTCACAATCCATAGTCCACTCGGGAAGAGTATCATACCTGAACATTGGCAGTGCAAAGCGATGTAATACTGTTGATTTTTGATCCCGACACACCTGGTGGCTTAAGGGCCAGCATGGACTGGAGATAATTATCCAGTTCTGCTACAGCCGACGACATGGCTGTTTTTGAGTTGGTATGAATAAAGATCAAATCAAGTACTGGAAAGCGCAATTTTGATGGAAGCAAGCTTTTTTTATCGTCCCGAATAAAGGGACTAAATAGGTGTCTGAAATGTACCCAACTCCCAACGAGTCGCTTCTACCGGGAGATCCAGTATGTTGTCTAGAAAAGAATATCTCTTGTATCCTGGTCCTCAAGGAGTTGAAGATTCTTAAGCGGACTTCTGTGGGCGTGCCACTACGGACTCCACGAGCACACTCTGGCGACCAAGGGGGCACCTTCCGCCTACAGCCAAGCGATAGTGGCCCAGAGCTTTGCGACTCGCGAACGAGTATCAGTACAGGGTACGACCTAAAATGAAATATCTGCAGAGAGACGACGAAAAAGAGCGATGAAAATGGTGGGTTTACGGTGTACAGATGACCCGTAGTGGGAAGAAGAGATGGTAGGAGGATGATGGAGGTTGTTGAGGAGGAGAGGGAGAAATCAGAGAAAGAAAGGGACAACGGCCGGAGGTCAGGTGATGAAGGGCAGAAAAAAAAAGTGCAGCTGCGCGCTAGCCTAGAAGAGGAAATCCTACATGCGGTCCACTTTTTCTTTTTGTCACTTCTTTTTTGTGTCTCTGGGATTCCTTTGAATAAGAATATCTAGTTGTTTCAGCTCAGAGTCCCTCCGACATTGATACCTACTAATTATGAGTCATACTCTGCCAGAATTTTTGCTGTTGCGGTCAGATGTGATTGCTACTTATAGCGGCGCACTGCCAACTCAAACATACTGGAATTACAGAATGGATATTTAAATGGGGTAATACAGCTGGTTTTTGATACTAGTTAGACATCGTCGCGTAGTGTTGGTTTAGTAATAGGAATATATCTTATTTAAATGAATTTAAAGTAGCATCCATATCGAGGAGGCTAAGTCAGGTAGACATCAAGCACATCCAGATAGCCATGGTGGGGCCAGTTGCCTCGTGGGGAATTGCAGACTCTACCTTGAATAAAGTACCTAACTTTATGGAACTTCACTGCTATATAGCCAAATAACTGGTGTTCGTTAAGACTTATGTATATATTCAAGTAACTCGATATGGATGAGACTGAGAATATTTACAAGTCATGGGAAACGACAGTATTAAAGAATAGCGAACCGAAGACGAAGACAACAATATGCAAGACAACGTGCCAAATATAGCAACAAGTTCGAACCCTGCTGTAATTCTACCTACATGATATAATTTTCACAGTAAACTATCAGCTGAAGAAGCAAGACAAAAAAATAAGTAAATATAGATAAATGAAAACAAGAGAGAGAAATCAGTTCAATTTCATTATTCTATCAAGATGTGTCACCTTTCTGTAGATGATGAGCATTCGTTTGAAGCAGACTAACCAAGACCGTTGGCATTTAATAGGGTAGCTATGAAGGTGTTGATGATCTCAAAGAGACCCAATATGCTGTGGGTTCTACTTAATCTGGCATCTGGGAAAAAGGCCATTGAAATACTATGTCTGTAAATGATTTGAATAGCATCTACCCCCTCTCTCCCTCCACATATATTCTTGGTATCTCAACAGTGATTTTTGCCGTTTGTCATGTGATAAAGGGCTGGTGCTATCTGTATATCCTCCAGTTTACAGTATTGTTTTCAATTGCCTAGCGCTAGTTCAATACCTTTATAAATTGACAAACCCGTGTATATCCCCTATAGAGGGTATGGAGCTATACCTCGGTCGCCTCGGTTTAGATATAACAGCCATGATTCTCTTCTGCAGCTGCCTGTGAAGTTAAAGCACACGAGTTTACGCTCAGCTATCCTCTTCATTTTCATAAATTGCAGTCTGGATAAAACGGAATGGTACTCGTCTGGACTCGAGTTTATACTCGATCATCTAGAAGGCTGATTATTAAGATGTTGGTTCATGATGTCCTTTTGCTTTCCCGATTTGGTTAGCATCAACATCTCAATGTCTTTATGTACATGTAGGGCGGAGTATTGGTGATTTTCTTCCGCTTTTTGTTTCGAGTTTCTAGAATCTACATTATTATAATAGCACCGAGTGATAGCTCTCAATGCCAGCAGAGTTCAAATGATCCGAAATATCGCGAGAGCGCAGGGGGCGATTGCCTCGGTGCTACGGAGTATACCAGGACAAAAGGAAACCGCTTTATGCTTCAACCCGTTTCAAATTAAGGCGACGCCACGTAGACATGATCATGGTTATTGAAGATGAAAACAAACTCATTTTTTGACTTCACCAAATGGAATTGTATGGGGTACAAAGGCCAGGGTATCTGAATTTTGATGTTTTGATACTCGGTGAGTCGAATAAGGTAACCAGGCCTAGCTGGCGTACCCCCTGGGGAAATACAATTTAGACTGTGTATTGTATGAGAATCCTCGCCTGGTTCCACAAGGATACTCAGCACCATGGGATTTTTGGAGGCTATTGATTTGAAAGATGTAAATAGCCTGATCAGATAAGAACGACGCCTGAAAATTCACCATGGCATTCAACAATAATGTTCGGAAGGCGGCACAAGCCCGGGCCAACCAGGATGGGCAATGTGCCGACGTCATTACCTTACCTAGTTAAGTTGGTTGTACAGCAGTTAATAGCAACAAAACTGGATCATCCCGACACGATCGTCATCACACAGTCATACCGATATCGCAAGAATCTGTAGGACGATAATTGTTGAGCTGTATAGAATACACTATAGAGATATACCATTCATTAGGCTATTATTATCTTCTTATTTACCAGAGGATTAGAAGCGGTCACGACGTGGTAACGGAATTTGGCGGGTAAGGAATCAATCTCAACATGCATGCAAGACAGCAGCCTAGGAGTTCAGGACCGCCGAAAAACTCGGGACACCGGCCGCGTTGGGGCTAGCGTTACCGTACGGTACGCGCTCGAGCCATTGCCTCGCTTCGTTGCCGGGAGTTACCGTACCATGTGTGTACCGGTTGTATTGGTACGGCCAGATGGAAAAAAAGGGCCGCAAAAGAGCTTCTCCCCGAAAAAGTTGGACACTTCTTCTTTTACCTCTTCTACTCGTTATACCCCCTTTCCTATCCAACCTTCATCCATCCTTTCCCACTTCGCATCCACAGCCGTTTGATTCAAGATGGCTTCCACCTTGAGACTCGGAACCTCTGCCCTTCGCTCTACCTCCATCGCCTCGAAGCCGGCTGTGCAGTCCGCTGCCTTGAATGGCTTGCGCTGCTACTCCAGCAAGGCCAAGGTTTGTTGTTGTTCCCGTTGCATCCCATGCCTTATGAATGATGGATGAATTGCTAACGCCGATTTGAACTCCAGTCCTTGAAGGAGACCTTCGCCGACAACCTTCCCGCTGAGCTTGAGAAGGTCAAGAAGCTCAGAAAGTATGCATATCCTATCCCGCGCCTCTTTTCATCCGCAATCTACAATTGCTAACCACGGTGAATCTGTACAGGGAGCACGGCAACAAGGTCATTGGCGAGGTTACCCTTGACCAGGCCTACGGTGGTGCCCGTGGCATCAAGGCCCTCGTTTGGGAGGTGGGTGATAACAACTTCACGATCGATGACGAGATTGTTAAGCTAACCCGCCGTGTAGGGCTCTGTCCTTGACTCCGAGGAGGGTATCCGTTTCAGAGGCCGCACCATTCCTGAGTGCCAGGAGCTTCTCCCCAAGGCTCCCGGTGGCCAGGAGCCCCTTCCCGAAGGTCTCTTCTGGTTGTTGTTGACCGGTGAGGTTCCCTCCGAGCAGCAGGTCCGCGACCTGTCTGCCGAGTGGGCTGCTCGCTCTGATCTCCCCAAGTTCATTGAGGAGCTCATCGACCGATGCCCCAGCACTCTCCACCCCATGGCCCAGTTCTCTCTGGCCGTGACCGCTCTTGAGCACGAGTCCGCCTTCGCCAAGGCCTACGCTAAGGGTATCAACAAGAAGGACTACTGGAACTACACCTTCGAGGACTCCATGGACCTCATTGCTAAGCTGCCCACCATTGCCGCCAAGATCTACCGCAATGTTTTCAAGGACGGCAAGGTTGCCGCCGTCCAGAAGGACAAGGACTACTCCTTCAACTTGGCCAACCAGCTCGGCTTCGGCGACAACAAGGACTTCGTTGAGCTGATGCGCCTGTACCTGACCATCCACTCCGACCACGAGGGTGGTAACGTCAGCGCCCACACTACCCACCTTGTCGGTAGTGCTCTGAGCTCGCCCATGCTCTCTCTGTCCGCTGGTCTCAACGGATTGGCTGGTCCTCTCCACGGATTGTAAGTCGATATTGTATATTGAGCTGTCATTTTGATCGGCGTGCTAACAACCCTTAACAGGGCCAACCAGGAGGTCCTTAACTGGCTCACCAAGATGAAGACCGCCATTGGCAACGACCTCAGCGACAAGGCCATCACCGACTACCTGTGGTCCACCCTGAACGCCGGCCAAGTCGTTCCCGGATACGGTCACGCTGTCCTCCGTAAGACCGACCCCCGTTACGTCTCGCAGCGCGAGTTCGCTCTCCGCAAGCTGCCCGAAGACCCCATGTTCAAGCTGGTCAGCCAGGTCTACAAGATCGCTCCTGGTGTCCTGACCGAGCATGGCAAGACCAAGAACCCCTTCCCCAACGTCGACGCTGTAAGTTTTAGCCTGCTATATTACTCCCTTGAATCCACTCGTACTGACTCCTGCCTTGCAGCACTCTGGTGTCCTTCTGCAGTACTATGGCCTGACTGAGGCTAACTACTACACTGTCCTGTTCGGTGTCTCCCGTGCCTTGGGTGTCCTGCCTCAGCTGATCATTGACCGTGCTCTTGGTGCCCCCATCGAGCGCCCCAAGTCTTTCAGCACTGAGGCCTACGCCAAGCTCGTTGGCGCTAAGCTTTAAAACGGGTTTGATTGATATGAAATTTTGGGGGGTTGGATTTGTTATGATCAAGTAGAGCAATATGTATTATTTTTCCCTTTTCCCCCCAATAATCATAGACTGGGACGCGCTGCGTGTTCGGGTTTGTTCAATTAATGTATGATAGGACTTGGTTCGAGCGGGCCTTGTAACAGCACTTCCATGTCAAACATTTCTTTTTCACTTAAATCCAAATTATCCCATCCATCGAGTATCGAGTACTATGTTTGGTGGGTTACATCCGTCCCAACTAAAAGATTGATTTTCATGATCTTCATGATAATTATATCCACAATTAAGCTGTAGTTCCTGTGGTGTAACCATTGGGTGGGTGACATCATCAACACTCCTGGGAGCAGTCCGAGTGTATTACTCCTTGGAGTAGTCTCAGTCTCATACTGCAACCCAATGATCAAGGTGAGCCGATAAATCAAATCGTCGTAGTGCTATGTATGTCTGTCCGCGGCTAAGGCGGTCAGTCTGAGAGCAGCCCGGCAGAGCTGTCCTTATGCTCCGATCAAAACCTCCGATTGGCGTTGGTGCGGGAGAGCCGCTGATCGGTGCTCTCAACCATTTTTCCCTCCTTTTTTCTTTCGGTTCTTTCTTTCTTTTCTTTTCTTTTTTTTTTTTCTTGCCTATTTTCTTTTTCGGTTTGTTGCGGATTCTCGTCGCCTTGTTGGGATCCGCCCGGTTTGCTCCGCCCGCTCAACGGAGCAGTCCAGCAGCCAAAGAACATTCCGCTGATACACCGCCGGGCCGAAATCGGAATAGTGCTCAGGGCCGCCCTCCAGCGCCCGATTGGGTTTAGGGCCTCCCCAATCGCTTTGTTTGGGGGTCAGCTTTGTCGATCCAGCCTGAGAACTGCAAAGTAGATACCAGTACGGAGCGCGGAATATAGTCTCCGGAACTTCATCGCCTTTCTTCCTGCAGCTACTAGCTACCTATCTATCTTTCGTGGCCATTGCTCGCCCTGTTATTAGTCCGCTGAATTTCTCCTCTTCTTCATTACCGACATATTTATTCCCAGCACACACCCCTTTCTCTCTTCACTTTCATCCTCCATCGAATACCTCGTTTTTCTCCCATAGCTCCATCGCCCCTTCGACTGAACATCATCGTTCTGGTCGTGCTTACGCAACACTCGATTTTCGTGATCCCTTAAGCGACGAAGCCCCCTACATCCCTTGGTCAGGGCCCCTTTCAGCGTTCCCCAAGGCTTTGAGATGTCTACCACTACACCTGAGGCGGCCTCCGCGCCCAAGCTGGAGAAGAAGCCCGTCAAGTTCAGCAACTTGCTGCGTAGGTGTCCCTTGGCTAGTGATTTTCCCGTGGGAGTTATGCAGTTCTGACCGTTATCTCTATAGTTGGCGCTGGTTTGAACATGTTCGAGGTCACATCGTTGGGACAGGTACTTTTCTAAATGATTCGGACCAACTTCCATATTTCCCCTACTAACAGCTGTCTAGCCGCTGGAAGTGATCAAGACAACCATGGCTGCAAACCGGGGCGACAGCTTCGCTGGTGCTATGGGTCGGATTTGGGGGCGTGGCGGGATCCTCGGTTGTAAGTGTCCTTGTGTTCCGGTTTCAAGATATGTGGGACAATGGTAACTAACATGGGGTGACCATCCTTGTAGACTATCAAGGTCTCATTCCCTGGGCCTGGATTGAGGCCTCCACTAAGGGAGCCGTCCTCCTCTTCGTCGCGTCTGAGGCTGAGTTCAGTGCTAAGGTTCTCGGCGCTCCCGACTTCCTTGCTGGTATCACTGGGGGTATGGTCGGTGGTATCGCCCAGGCCTATGCGACCATGGGCTTCTGTACCTGCATGAAGACTGTCGAGATTACCAAGCACAAGATGGCCGCACAGGGTGTGAAGCCCCCCAGCACTTTCGCGACTTTTATGGACATCTATCGAAAGGAGGGTATTCGTGGTATCAACCGTGGTGTCAATGCCGTTGCCATTCGTCAGACTACCAACTGGGGTTCTCGTTTCGGTCTTTCCCGATTGGCAGAAACCGCGATCCGTAAAGTGACTGGCAAGGAAGACGGCCAGAAGCTTGGTGCCTTTGAGAAGATTTTGGCCTCCGGTCTGGGTGGTGGTCTCTCTGCTTGGAACCAGCCCATTGAGGTCATTCGCGTTGAGATGCAGAGCAAGACCAATGACCCCAACCGCCCTAAGAACTTGACTGTCGGCAAGGCCTTCAACTATATCTACCAGTCGAATGGTCTCAAGGGTCTTTACCGTGGCGTTACTCCTCGTGTGGGTCTGGGCATTTGGCAGACCGTCTGCATGGTGGCTCTTGGTGATATGTAAGTGTTTGCTCCTTTCCCCCGATTTCCTTGTGAAGCAAATGCGTTTACGGGGATGACATCCCCGCAAAAACTCTTCCCCCATCCATGTGAAACCGAGGAAACAGATAGGCTAACCTGTGGGTCTCCGTTGTACCGAATAGGGCCAAGGAAACAGTCGAAAAACTGACGGGCGACCAAGTCACCGCTAAGCACTAGAGAAGGTTTGAGATACCCTTCTGCCATGCATGGTCTTTGAGTTGGGTGGATGATGTAACAGCCGGTCTTCGGCCTTTGGTATCTATTGTACGGGCCTTCAATCGGATGAGATGTCCCGAGGGTAGGGATCAGACATTCGCCGATCATTGAGGGGATGTAGCATCGGACTGGAGTTGTATGTCATCAATGTCATGTTAGGCAAATACTCGATATAATGAATAATAATATTGCCGACTCCTGGGGGTTCGATGATTCCGAAAATCATTTTCTGAATGTTTTGTATTTTCCGTTGCGGGTATTATTTATTGAACAGCATTGGAAGTCATCCTGGCCAAGTGCAGAGTATATTTAGTCCACAACAATACTATTCATGAAGTCTGAGTGAAACATGATAGGATTAATATTTGATGCTCCATAGAAGATGATAACCATCACATGAAGCTATACCTATCATGCACTGTAAACTTGACGGTCAATGCACATATCTCTTGGTAGAATCTTTATAATGGTGCCAATACACTGTATTCTTGTGAGAATAGGTAGCTATACCATGTCAGAATCAAAGCCAGGCTCTTTCATGGTCAAATCAACGTTGATCAACAATTTCATTATATTCTTGTAGGAGCCGGCAGAGAAAATTTTGACAGTCAAATTTGAATTGCCAAATCCCTATCCATGTGTACCAAATAGGACGTCGATTACACCTGCAGAGCATCCAGACACGGTTTTAACCATATTCCCGCTGAATAACAATAATAGCAATAATAACCTTACCCCTATACCAATAGTCTTTTTTCTCTGGATCTTACCGACTTTGTTTTTCCTCGGAGCTTTAGGGGATCCACTAGTATTTCAGCCGTACTTCTAGGACCCTAGACATGTTTCGCTAGAATCTGGCTAGACACTGCCATAGGTATAAACATGTATTTGTTATCAGAAATTTAATTGGGGAATACATAATAAGAACCTAAGCGTTTGCATTGCACATGGAACCATATTGAATAGGGTACAATTGTATTACACAGTCAAGCAACTACAACCACATCATAAAGGAAATATCGGCAAAGATTGATCTAGACACATAAAAAATCGAGGGGGTGGTGACGCTTTTTCCAAGGGCAGTCTAGTATGTATTGTATACATGGATTTAAACGGTCAAGCCGAGTTCCTCGCCGTACGGGAGCTGGACGAGGTCTCCAACGGAGGCAACTGAGGCCTTGCTGGAGAGGAAGGACTTGGCGACCTGTTGATATATATCAGCTATACATTCCCTATTATCATACAAAACAGGGATACTTACATCCTTGACCTGCTGCTCGGTAACGTTGTCAATAGCCTGAGCGATTTCACCGATCTGGTAAGGCTTGCCGCCGTTGACAAGGGCGGAGCCAGTGGCCTCCAGGCCAGTCTCGAGGCTCTGGGCAGACTCGAGGGCACGGAACTTGGCCAGGGCGACGGCCTTCTTGATTTCTTCGCCAGCAATCTCGCCAGCGGCCGTCTTCTTGAGGTTGTCGACGGCGAGCTGGCTAAGACCAGCAACATGCTCGGCTTTTCCGGAAACGGCAATAGTGAAGAGACCGGCATCAGAGTAGGTCTGGTTCTGGGCCGAGGCACGGGCCTGGGGGAAACTCTGGGCGCCCTTGGACAGAAGAGAGAAACCGGGAGTCCACTTGATAGTGGACTCACCACCAAGGAGAGCAGCGAGAACGGAAGCCTCAGGCTTGTAGCCAGAGGTGCCGAAAGAGCTGGAGCCAGGGAAGGCAATCACGACGGAGCTGCCGGCCTTGGAGGAGATACGCTGCTCACCGCCAAAGTATTTCGAGGCAGACTTGGGCAGAACCTTGTAGTGGCTGGAGGAGCCGGTGCTGGGGACCTCCTTGAAGAACTCACCAGCCCACTTGGAGAGGTCCGCAGAGTTGGGGCCGCTGCCGACGAGGGCGATGTTGGACTTGGCGTAGGCCTCCTGGGCGTACTCGGAGAGGGCCTCGGCGGAGAGGTATTTCTCGACTGGGACATAGCTGGAAGGAGTAACGCTGTCACCCAGACCACGGTGGAAAGCCAGGCTGTGAGCGGCATCAAGAGCCACGTTCTCTGGGTTGGCAGCAAGAGCTGCTTGTCTGATCTTGAAGAGTTTGAAGACGACCTCGTTCAATTCGTGGGCTGCAAAAGAAGAAAATCTGAATTAGACCCGATCCATAAACTCCGATGGGCCGATGCTGTCGACTTACCTGGGAACTTGGTCTGAGAGGCAACCTCCGCCAAAAGCTCCGTGAAATACGGGAGGTCGTTCGAGAGGAACTTGGCCTTGAGGACTACGTTCTCACGCGAATGTGTCGAGGAAACTTCACCGCCCAGCAATTCAACCTCCCGAGTGATCCGCAACGCCGACCGTTTGAGTGTAGACTGTCAATTGAACGTGAAATAGTCAGAACCCGAGTCCTCGTAGCAATTTAAGACAAACAGAGAAGGCAATTGGGTCATAGGGTACCTACCTTGAAGGCGAAGTGTTCGAGGACGTCGGAGAAGCCAGGAAAGGGCTGGTAACGGGAGCCGGCCTTTGCAACCAGCGCCAGGGTGCTTGTAGGGCCCGAGACTTCTCTGTTGGCGATCTTCAGACCAGAAGACTCAGAGACATCGTACTGGAGGCCCGGAGTCACAGCAGAGGCCATGCCCCGACGGCTGCTGGCGCTGGCAGCAGAGCACTGCTTCTGGAGCGCACGGGGCGCATTTCGGGCGAAAGTAGACCGCGACAGCATTATCGCATGTGCGGGAGACAGAAAGGGGAGGAGAGGAAACAAAAAGCCGTAGGGCTTGAGAGTAATTGGGGGTATAGGGAGGAGGGGGGAGCAGAAGTCTGGCGTCGGGCGGTTTGGAAACGATGTCTGAAAAGCTTCAAGATGCCGGGGCCTTGATTACTCGCGCGCTGATTGGCTAGAATGACGAGTGCGGGCGGAACCGGCTTATCCTCGTCCTCCGGGTCAGGTGAGATCAGGTGACCCGTTGCTGCACGTGATTTGTCGGAGGCTTTGCGATAAGAGAAAAAGAGACAGAAGCAAAGAGGGACATTTCGGCTTGGCTCCCTGATCACGCAGTTTACTTCCATTTCTGACCGTTTTATTTCCCTCATGAGAACTTCACGGTGACCTTAATTCCTCTTCTAGAGAATTGGAAACTGGGTGATTCTCTAGAAGCCCGACAATGACGTCCCAAGTATGCGACTGACTGATCTTCCCCCCCCGCTACCCGCATCGGTTGCTGATATTGAGCGTCATAGTATGCCGCGGAGCTTTGTGCGCTCCTAGTTGAAGACAATTTCGGAGAATTGTTTGGGGTATGCTTGCTCTGCTAGTTTCGATCATTTTTCCCACAGCAATAGAATCATGCCCGGATCGAATTTGCGATCCTCCGAAAGAGAGGCTTCATTCAGATGCTGTTACATGGAATCTGTAGACTGATTTTCAATCTCAAATCTCCAGCGCATCTTCTCGACCTTAAATCGCTATGACCGCCTCCCCCTTCCACGCCTGAAATTCTATACCCGCCTCACTGATCGCCAACTCCATCATGGCCTCGCCGCCATGATCCAACACCACCTTGTATACCATTACACGTCTTACGATGACGGCATCACTTATTATGAGGCCAACCTGCAGTCTGCATACTACATAATCCGGACCGGAAAGATCCTAGAGTTTATTGAAGATCGATTGGGAAAGTATGCTGCCACTGTAATGTCGGCTATTATGTTTCTCGGGCACGCCCAAGTCAGCCATCTTGAAACCCTGCCAGAGCTTCGTCCTCAAGAATTGAATAACAACGGTGCTATTGATGACTATGGAGAAACCGGCGAACACGAGGAAACTGGAGAAAATGGAGAATATCCAGATCAGGAGGGACAGGAAGAGCAAAAGGATCAGGAGGAGCAGCTCAATGGGGTCAATGGTGACCATGCCTCTTCTGAACAGTCGGCTCTTTTACACCCGACCCTGAAAGCTTTAGCTGCCCACGGTTATATCATCCGTGTGCGGGAAGCTCAGATGCAGAGCCTCGCCGACAACATTTTGGACGCAGAAAGAGTGATAAAATCGAGGTCTGATGTAAAAGCTATGAAAGGCAAGAGATTTGAAGAAACAGTCAAAGAGGGAACACGAAACTTGATCAAAGAACGGACGAATGGAGATCTTACCCACGGCTTGAGATTCAATGGAGTTCCACGGGGTGCCAAACGAAAATTTGGAGCCGGGGGTGCTGAAGCGCCCAACAAGAAACCCCGAGCATACTACGCTGCTGTCGATGAGGACGAGGGGGATGAAGAGGAAGAGAATGAATGGTCTGATGACGAGATGGGTCACGACACGATTCCAATGGAGGTGAGTTTCTTTCAATGTTATAGTGTACGAGGAGCTAATAGGCCATTGGTTTCAGTCCGCATTGGTCGTTCGAGTCAATTATGATAAACTTGACGTTGCTCTCCGGAATCGCCGGTTTATCGAGCTTGCTGAGCAAGATTCATCGCCTGCAACGGCCCAAATTTACGACACACTGCTTCGACGGATTGAGTACCAAACCGTGACCTGTCGAGATACCGACGAAAGTTCTGAGATACCTCGCGAAGGGGAGGAGAATGACAAATACTCAGTTCCAATCCAACTAAATGAGGTGGCCGAGGATGTTGACCCGCGGTTGGATCTTGCGGGGTCCATCGGCCCTATGGACATCTCGCAGGTACCCAATAGACGCGGGAAACGGCCATTGGAAGACAGCGTCAATGGTGGTAGCCACGAAGGCACTAACGGGTTATCATCTGGTGTTAGTCGAACCTATGAGGTTGACCAACATCTTTGCCTTCTATCTCAACCGCCATACAATTTCACGTCTAAAGCTGTCATCGGTGGCGTGATCAACTGGACGGTGCGATTTCGTCATTTGGCCCGCCAGCTCCGCAATCTTGAGCTAGAGCGGATGATAGAAGCCCGATATGGCGATGTAGCACTGCGCGTTATCCGAGTTCTTCATGCCAAGGGCAAATTGGATGAGAAGCGTCTTCAAGAGATCAGTCTTTTACCTTTCAAGGACCTACGACAGGTTCTGGCCAGCATGCAGGCAGGTGGATTTGTTGATCTGCAGGAAGTACCTCGGGATGCGCAGCGTCAACCCTCGCGTACCATCTATCTCTGGTTCTACGACCCGGATCGCATCCGGAGTAGCGTTTTGGAAGATACGTACAAGACCATGTCTCGATGCATGCAACGCTTGAAGTTCGAACGGAACCGACTCAAAGAGTTTCTAGAGAAAACAGAGCGGAGTGATGTCAAGGGTAATGAGGAGCGGTATCTATCAGAAGGGGAGTTGCAGGTTCTGCAGCAGTGGAAGGCCAAAGAGGCACTTCTTTTGGGAGAAGTGGCCCGGCTGGATGAGATGATCGCTGTGATGAGAGACTATTGATACCATCCTGTCACGAATGATGGAATGTAAAAAAAAAAAAAAAAAGAGAGAAAGTGAAAAGCCGCATTTGCATTGCATTTTGTTTTATTTTGGCTAGACATTACTATTATTACTCGATAGTTTTCAGGAAAGGGCGAAAACAAAGAGTCGAATTTATAGGAAGCAAAAATAGCATGGATCTAATAACAACATCGCTTTGCCTATCTATTCACATCCTATTTGCCATGTTACTTATGAACCACAAAGCATGGTGCCCTAGAATACTATATTCATTTATGTATAGTCAAAATTCAAAGCATTTGGTCTCTTATTGTTATTTCAGATGATATCAAATCAGTTAAAATGTAGATACCCAAATTGTCAACAGCCGCCCATACACCACAACTGTATGAAATAAGAGAAATGAATCAGTATCTAGGTACAGAGAATGAAGACAAAATATACCACGCTGAACCCGAACAAGAGGAAAGCTTCAAGAAAGGAACCACCACATCCGATGTCAAACACCACCATAAGCCCAAGTAAGAGGATAAGAAAAGGCATGAAAGGATAGAAAACAAAAAACAGCGAAGTAAAGAAGATAGGATAGATAGATGAATAAGACGAGAACTTCCTCCGTAAGTTAAATCTAAAACGGCACCCGAATACATAGAATTACTTTTTCCTCTACCCCGTCTAAGCCGTATCTTCGTTTCGTAGAACATGTCGCGTGAACGATATTGCCAGAAATGTTGAGAACAACCCAAAACACTCAATTGCGAGATTTCAATCGCGAAATTAAGTAGAGTCATTTGTCTTTGGACTGCCACTGACACCTTCCGTTTCGGTGTTCTTGGTCACTGTGTTCCCTTCGGCGCTTGATGAATTGGCCTCGCTTTCTTTCCCACTCAGACGAGATTCGGCGGCCGCAAGTTTCCCCTGCGTTTCTTCTAGCTCCTTTCTCAGTGCTTTGATGTAGTCGATGGCCATTTCCACAGTGCTAGCCTTGCTGATTGCCTGGTTCCCGGCCTTATCTTTTTCCTTCTCAGCACCCCTTGCATTGCACGCCGCAGCTTCTTTGGCATTTTTCAGCTGGACAAACCCCGCAGGAATGAGAGTCTCAATTTCTTTGAGGGCGTTATTAATCCGATTTCGTCGCCCCTGTTCTGCGAGCTTGTGATTCGTTCGTTTGGAGCTGAGATTCTCGGCCAGGGTTTCAGGATATGAGACGCCGGGAAGTAGGGTGCCATCCAAGATGTGCTGGTAATTTGATTTAGATGCCAGATAAAGTGCGGATGTTTCACCGCTACCAGCTGCAAGAATCTTTAGTATATACATTTGTCAAGGGGAGGGGTAACTATGATACTTACCATCCCCACGCACTAGAGGTTGGATACTAGGACTAATTTTAGGCCGTAATTGAGGACTAGCATGCGACAAACTCGGTCGTTTTCTGCCAATGGGACCAATCTTGGGTGTGTCGGACTTCTTACCAACCGGGCCACTAGGAGAAGGCATCGCGATTGTGCGCGGACTCGGGGCGATAGAACTAGGGTTCCGTTCGAGAATCGGGGCGGACTTGGGTTCCAGAGAGGGAGTAGCACTGGCCAATTTAACAGAGGCAGTGGTGGTATCAGCAGGAGTGGCAGTTTCGATACGAGCGACCTGGGGTCGAGAAAGCTGTGAAGTAGGCGTCACAGCCTCCGGGAGCACGACGTCCTCCATGATGTCGTCATGCGACTCGCCAGGCACAAGTTTTGCTTGACCTGTAAACTGGCCCGTCGGGTCTTGGTCGTGCTGCGACCGTTGTATACGCATCAACATTGCAGGTGTTGCAGCCCCACCGGCCTGCGAGTGGGTTGACTGCGGACCCATTGCGGGAGATTTCCGTGACTGGGGAAGAGCAGGTGGAGGCATCAATGGTTCCGAGAGCGGTTCAGGGGATACAGAGTCCTGAGAGCTCTCATTGCTTCCATATCGTAAACTGCTACCACCATTGGCACGTGGCTTGGAGCCACCCTGGTCCTGACTGAGGCCATTGAGTACTTCATCCGAATTGACGTTTAACAATGACTTCTTTCGTGTCTGGGGTCGCACAGAGGGCGATTGTTGTTTCTTGGCTCGACTAGCGAATCGAGAGGTAGCTGAAGGCCGGCGACGGTGCTTACGAATGATCCCCGGCGAATTTGGGGTGGATGCCGCAGGGATACCGGTATCAACGGGTGAGTGCAGAAACCCGACGTCCGAAACTTGCTGTTGGGTCGAATGGAAGGGGTAATTGTTCGCGTTGGAGTTTTGGGCTTCGAGGGCCGGGGATGTGAGGGGAGTAAAGTACTCTCCGGGAATAGTGTACTCAGGAAGTCGAAATTGAGTTTCCAAGGGAGTCATAGCGGGAGAAATCAGAGGTGTGTAGAGGATCTGTAACAGTGCGGGCGCATGCATTAGCCAAACCTATACATAGGCGGGGTTCTGACCAGAGCCATTGGTGGTGAGCCTACCTGTTCATCATTCATGCGAGTGTATCGATCGTACATCTCGTGGTTTTCGTCCACTCTTTGTGGGTATCTGGCGGCATTTCCATGGAGCTCCATACTGTTGGGTGTTGGGGGAATCATTGGCTGACCCTGAGGGCAATACTGCCTTGTTGATTGTGGCGGGAGAGATTGGTAATGCGATGGCGGATGTGAATGATCCTGTGACTGTTGCTGTGGATGCTGAAAAGGTTGGTGTGGCAGAGATTCTTGAGCATAGAACCCGGGGGTCATCGCGGCATTGGAGTACGACGGGGGAACCTGACCAGACGGCGGTTGAGCCTGACCCTGGCTGTGGAGGTCAAGGGAGATATTGTCCATGATACGATTGTAGGGCGAGGGCTGCGCAGTGACTTCAGTATCCATATGGACCATCTGGTTTTGATCGGCCGCGGTGGAAGGAGGCAACGAAACAGTGCTGGGGAGGGAACTGGCAGGGTGACGTTCATGATTGCCGGGTCCGTGCCCTTCGAGGTCGGGAAACTGCATTCCAAACTCAAGAAAGTTGGTGAACTCATCGTCACCGGGGTTCGTCATGATCGACTCCTCCTGAAGTTGGCCCGGCCAGGATATCGAGGGTTCTTGCTCCATGACAGCGATTTCGAAACGGAAATTCGGAGACAACCTGGTTTCTTTTGTGGCTCACACCAAAACCCGAGATTGGGACCAGAACGAGTGAAGGTAGCAATAAGAAAAGACAGCGAAAGGGCCAAGAGACAGAGTGATGGGTGAAAGACAAAGATGCCGCAGTCACACGGCGATTGAGAGAGCACGGCTCAGCAGGAAAGATTGGAAGCCATGGTGGATAAAGCGGAGAAATTTTTGAATGATATTACAGCATATAAAAGAGGGCGGAGAGACGGGGAATAGATGGCAGGGGAGCAAAAGCCCGTTGACTGAAGTAGAGAGACCACCTAGTCGGTAGGAGAGATGATGGTGAGAGAGAAGGTCGGGAAGAAGTTGAGGATGAGGCACTTGGGATGATGAATCCGACCCGAGGGGACAAAAGGAACGCTGATGGAGGGGAATGATTTCCCGTCGAGGCAGAAAAGAAAAAAGAGAGTTTGTTAACCGATCAGCGACGATGGAGGACTATGAAACTGAGACAGAAAGCAGAAGAAGAATAATAAGAATCTCTTCTGTGCGCAAAGTGATGATCTTCTCCATCCAACCTTGGTCGGGGCTCGCCGCTAATTAATCTTAAGCTCAAGCCACGAGCAGCAAGAAAAGAATCCGGAAGAGAAGAGGAGGATGGGAAATGGCATAGGATGTTGTACCGTCCATGTCGATGGCGATAGCATATATTGCTACATCCCCACCCTCGAGCCTAGTGTCCCTAGGGCGTGCTTGAACTGCACTACAATGTCTATATCCATCGACTCTCCAGACGGTGAGGTTGAAGTTGTATAATTTACCATACCGGTACGGTATTTGCTATTAAGATTCACGGTGGAGCGCAGGGGCGGTATGTAATTGGCTGTAAAATACAGACTGTCGGAGGGGTTTTCGCAGTCAACAGTCGAGACGAGTCTCGTGCGGTGGCGATAGAGACTGGATCGACCAGGAGAAAACCCTCCTGCGATGGATATAAATGGCATTCATCGGCTACTGGGTTCCTAAGAGCCAGTTGCGCTTCAAGAATCACTGTGCAAAACGCCTCGTTATCAAGGTTGATAACGCATTGAATTAGCCTGGATATAAACGATATTAAAAAATTCTACCTAGCAGGAATATACAGAGGTTGGAAACTAAAAGACGACACAGCCGTAACATGCTAAAGTGCATACTACAGTAGTCAGTCCCCTGCCATGACCCATGACGATAGC